CTAGACACTGGGGGCCAGGGCCTTCACAAAAGGATATAAATCGACACTCGTACACCTAAGTCAGACTGGAATATATTTGAGCTATGTCTATGATATTTGAGACTGAGATATGTGAAAGGAGATCAAATCAAATCAAATTAAGTCGCTTTTCCATGACAACTTAGAAGATAACAGTGTTGCGAGGTCTACAGGTTGTAGGTTTCGTTTGTTTGTTGGCTACTTAAGCATACAATTCAGCGAAAATGGTAGCATAAACGTCAGGATGGCGTCATAGTGGGCACTCGTACGCAATGTTCACCAGGATTGATGAGCAATCGACAGCGTAAAATTTCTATGCTGTCCTGCATGCTGCCAGCAGAACCAGCGTAGTCTTATTATGCCACCGGTACACCAGAATTATAACATTGTTGGATTTAATGACGTCTTCAGACTGTCGAGTATGCTAATCTACAAACTTCATGTTACCGATTATAACCCTTAGTAAGTTATGATGTGTTTACCATTATGAGTGTAATTATGTATTTACAGCCATTTATCAAAATTGGCATGTGAGATCGCTATGCCGGTGCCAATCAGAGATCTAGCATGTTTTGACATAATCCTGCCGCCCAACCCATTGTTGTAGGAGCGCCTTGCGTGAGCGCACCATGCTCAACATCCTCGGATCGTGCCCAACTAGAGCCCGCTACGAGCGTACTCCTTGGTGTGATGTTCCCATTAAGATGTTTTACCAGCGATAGAGAACAGACTTCCGGAATCTGTTTTTGATTTTCCCCGTTATTCAGTCAAGTCCTAACCTACCATCAAAACTAAGTTGTCAAAAATCGCGGTGGAAACGGCTCCAATCGGTCCGCAGAGTGAGCGCATCATGCGTGCGTGAACGCATCATCATCCGTTTGAAGCAGCGTTCGATTGGTTTGCCGCGCTGAATTAAATGTACGCATACGCGTACATGTATGTCGCTCGTAGTGGAGGGATTGAGACGAGGTATTAGTATCACGGTTGGAATGATTGTTCGGACTATCGTTCACGTCTGGTGCGTTAGTAAGCACGCAACATGTCAGCCAGTTTACTCCCCGGCTGCCGTCAGGTGTCATGGAGTCCTGGAAATGACTGGGCGGTGCTTGGCTGTCAGCCATGCATGCGTCATACCAGAATTCTCTCCCTGGAATTCTTGAGGTTCGAGGCAGAGTCTTTTTTATTGCGAGTCCAGTAATCAACCAACTTCGCTGAACTGAGCTCGTCCTCCCTTTCATTACTATTTAGGCAACGGCAGAATTTTAGTTGCGAAAGCTTTACGTGCCGCAATGCTCGGCACGGTCCGTCCTGCCCTCTGACGTCAACTGACCTTTAGCGCGACCGCTGCCACCGGCCGCAGGCCATACCTGCCAAGGGCAAACAGCGAGCGCCCTAAAGCGACTCGAACCCACCCCGCCACGGATGGGTGGGTCGGAATGCAGGCGCTCTAACCAACTGAGCCACCGGGGCGGACTAATGGCAGTGGAGCTGGTAGACCACTGGGCTCGCAATGAAAACGGCCCTGGTTCTACTCCCAACCATCTCAAGGAGGTAATTCGGTTCGTGACAAATGCATGGCTGATAACCAACCGCATTCCAGTCCTTCTTAGGACTCAACAACACATGATGACGGCCGGAAAGTTACCTGGCCGAAACGTTGTGTACATACTGACATACCAGGCGAGGACGACAGTCGGAACAATTATTTTACCTGAGGACTTCTCGGTTAGTTCAACTTTTCATTCAATGCATGACATTCACTACATTCATCGCATTCGACATGTTTGATATAGCAAACCTGAGGTAGGAACCACTACATTTTGTCTTCCGGTTAATATGGCACTATGTTAGTATGCAGTTAAATCACACCTTCCAGAGCGGGTCGCATAGCACGCAAAGTCAGAAAAAGTCGCTGTTCGCGTGTTTGAACACAGCGATCATATCACCTGGATATTCCTTAATCAATCTCATCTGCCCGCTGACTGGTGCTCCTCACACCACCCGATCGTAGATCTTGCGGCACGCTTGAAGCATCCAACTGGCACCGCTCCACTCATAGCTTTCAAACAGACAAGATCCTGCTTGGGCAGGCCCGCAGCTACGAGTTGCAGCTGACCTTTGCAACCGAAACAACTTTGCATAGAGCCAGAACCCATTACCATCCGATGCGGCTTGCAGAGACCAAACGAGCTCTAATTGCCTCGTTTGGTCTCTGCAAGCGGCATTGGATCAGAAGTTCTGGGACGGGGTTTAAGTTCATTATGAGTGCAACTTGGCTAAGGTTGATTTGTTTACGGCCTCAACACTACCCTGTGCCTGCTAGGGCAGCGGATAAAGTCACATGCAGCACCGACCGAGAGCTACGTCCGAGGCACGGCTTCTTAATCATACGTGGCCAGAGGTACACAGGCCTTCGCCGATGATTTTCAGGATCAGGCCGAATTGCATCCTTGAAACCTAGGATCGAACTCACTCGCAATCC